AGGGAAATTAGGAAGTAATTTGAGATGAATGAAAATCAAGACACAACATACCAAAACTTGTTATATGCAACTAAACGCAGTGCTTAGAAGGGAATTTACGACTGTAATGGAGTTATTAAGAAAGGAGAGAGGACTTCCCTGGTGCTCCATTGGTTAAGAATTCATCTGCCAATGTAGGGGACACAGGTTCTATCCCTGGTCCGGGAAGATTCCACATGCCTCTGGGCAACTAAGCCTGTGCCCCACAACTACTGAGCCCCTGCTCTAGACTCTGTGAGCCACAACTACTGAAGCCTGTGTGCCTTTGCGTCCATCCTTTGCAAAAAAAGAAGCCACCGCAATGAGAGGTTTGCACACAGCAATTAGAGAATAGTCTCTGCTCAAACAACTAGAAAAAGCCCACACGTAGCAACAAAGACCAAGCGCAGCCAAAAATAAATAAATAAATAAAAAGAGAGAGATCACAAATCAGTAACCTAAACTTCTACTTCAACACACTGGAAGAAGAGTACACTAAATCTAAAGCAAGCGAAGAAGGAAATAATAAAGAATACAGCAGACATTATTAAAATAGTGACTATAAAAACGTTGAAAAGCAGTGAAACCAAATGCTGACCCTTCAAAAAGATCTACACAATTGATACACATTTAGCGATATTAACCAAGATAAAAACAAAGATGACTTAAACTACCAGTATCAGAAATGAAAGAAGGGCATTACTATTTACCTTAGAGAAATTTAAAAAATCATAAAAGAATTCTATGAATTGTAGGCAAAAAATTTATAAATTAGATGAAATGGGCAAATTCCCAGAAAGACACAAACTACCAAAACTGGCTCAAGAAGAAATAGGCAATCTGAGTTTATCTAAGTAAGTGAAGAGTTTGAAATAGTGATTAAAAAACCTCCCACAGAGAAAAGCCCAGGCTCAGATGGCTTCATCACTGAATTTTACCAAACATTTAAAGAATTCATAACAATTCTTCAAAAACTATTGTAAAAAATAGAACACAAAAAAAGGAGAAGGAAATCTCTAGCAGTTCAGTGGTTAGGGCTCTATGCTTCCACTGAAGGGGGCACCAGCTCAATCCTTGGTCAGGGAACTAAGATCCTACGTGCCACATGGCACAGCTAAAATAAAATAATTTTTAAATTTTTTTAAACAAAAAATAGAAGTTGAGAGAATATTTCCCAAGTCATTTCACGGGGCCAATATAACTCTTATGCCAAAAATCAAAGACATCATAAAAAAAGAAAATTACCAATCAATATCTCTTATGAATATGGTTACAGTAATCCTTGGAGAAGGAAATGGCAACCCACTCCAGTATTCTTGCCTGGAGAATCCCATGGACAGAGGAGTCTGGCGGGCCACGGTCCACGGGGTTGCAGTGAGTAGGACAACGACTGAAGTGACTAAGCATGCACGCACGCACAATAATCCTCAACAAAATTTAGCATTTTATAAAAAGATTTGTTCAGGCTTTCCTGGTGGTCCAGTAGTTAAGAATCTGCCTGCCAGTGCAAGTGACACAGGTTCAATCCCTGAATGGGGAAGGTCCCACATGCTGCAGGGCAACTAAGCCTATGAGCCACAACTACAGAGACTGTACAATGCAACTACTGAACATTTGCACCCAGAGCCTGTGCTCTGCAACAAGAGAAGCCACCACAATGACAAGAGTATGCATCACAACTAGAGAGTGGCCCACACTTGTCACAACTAGAGAAAGCCCATGCACAGCAGCAAAGACCCAGTGCAGCCAAATATAAATAAACAAAATAAATAATTAATAAAAAAAAAGATTTGCTCATCGTGTTCAACTGGGATTTATTCTATTAATGCAAGGTTGGTTTAATATCTGAAAACCAATTAATATGGTACATAACAACAGTAATATATCACATCCATAATATATCACATCCAATACCTTTTTATGATTAAAAAAATTCAACAAACTTGGAATATAAAGGAATTAACCTCATAATGGACTTTTATGAAAAAATCACAGTTAGCATCACACTTAACAGTAAAAAATTAGATGCTTTCCCACTAAGATTTAGAACAAGACAAGAATGTTCACTCTTGCTACCTCTAATCAACATCATATTGGAAGTGCTAGCCAACACAATTAGAAAGAAATAAAAGGTATCTAAATTGAAAAGGAAGAAGTAAAATTATCTCCATTTTCAGATGGAATGAACTTGTATGTTGGAATTCCTAAGGTTTCCACTAAAAAAAATTAAAACATAAGTTCTGCAAAGTTGTAAAAGATTAATAAAAATAAATTATACTTCTATACATTTGCAATGAACAATCTGAATATGAAATTTAAAATAGCATTTACAATACCATCATAAGGAATAAAATACTTAGGCAAAACTTTAACAAAAGACATGTAGAATTTATACTCTGAAAACTACAAAATGTTGTTGAAAAAAAAATTAAACTAGATCCAAATAATTGGAAAAATATCCAGTTCTGATCAGAACTAACAGTTAATATACAACACTCCCAAACTGATCTACAGATTCAATACCATCTCTATCTCTGTAGAAATTGACAAGCTAACACTCAGATTCATACAGAAAACCAAGAATAGCCAAAACAACACACTTTCCTATTTCAAATTTATTACAATTTTATTACAATTACAATAATCAAGATAATTTGGTACTGGGAAAAGAGTAAACACACAGATCAATGGAATAGAAATGAGTAACCAAAAATAAAACCATGTATCTATGGTCAGTTGATTTTAACCCAACCTTGGGACCAAAGTTGGATGGTCCAAAGACCATCAATGGGAAAAGAACAGTATTTTCAATAAATGGTGTAGGAACAATTGGAATTAGACACTTACCTCACACAATATACAAAAATTAACTCAAAATTGATCAAAGATCTAAACTTAAGAGGTAAAACTATAAAACTCTGGGAAGACAACACAGAGGGAATCTTCATGATCTTATATTTGGCAATGATATTTGAATAAGACATCAAAAGCACAGGCAACAAAAATTAAACTGACTTCATCAAAATGAAAAAATTTTGTGCGGGAAAGGACACCATCAAAAGAGTGAAAAGACAACCCACAAAATAGGGGGGAAATTTTGAAATCTGGTAAAGGATTAATGTCTAGAATTTTAAATTCACATCTCAAGGACAACAGCACACACAAACAACCCCAATCCAAAAACAGGCAAAAGTCTTAAATAGACATTTCACCGAAGATGATATACAAATGTCTAATATGCATATGTGAAGATGCTCAACATTACTAGTCAAGTCAAAACCACAGTGAAATACCACTTCACATCCATTAGGATAGTTGTTATTTTTTTAAAAGGGGAAGGGAGCTCCCTGGTGGTCCAGTGACTAAGACTCAGGGGTCCCAGTGCAAGAGGCCTGGATTTGATCCCTGGTCAGGGAACTAAATCCCACATGCCCAAACTAAAAGATCCTTCATGCCCCAGCTAAGATCTGGTGCAGTCAAATAGTAAATAAATATTTCTTTTAAAAAAGGAAAATAAGAAATGGAGAAAGCGGAATCCTACCACATTGCTGGTGGTAATATAAAATGGTATAACCACTGTGGAAAACAGCTTAATAGTCTCTCAAAAAGGCAAACACAGAATTACTATACAATCTAGCAATTCCACTCCTTAGTGTATAATCAAAATATAATTAAAAGAAGGGACTCACAATATCTAAAATGTATGTAGAACTCACACAACTCAATAGGAAAAAATAATCAGTTTTAAAATAGGCAGAATAGCTGAATAAACATTTTTCCAAACAAGACATATGGACAACAAGTACTTGAAAAGGTGCTCAATATCACTAATCTTCAGCAAAATACAAATTGAAACCACAATGAGATACCACCTCACATCTGTTAGAATGGCTCTTATCAAAAAGACAAGTGATAATAAGTGTTGGTTGAGGATGTGGAGATATGGGAGCCCTTGTGCGCTGTTGGTGGGAATGTAAAATGGTATAGCCACTGTGGAAAACAGTATCAAGGTTCCTTAAAAACTGAAAACTGTATTAGCACGCTCAGTCATGTCTGACTCTTCGTGACCCCATGGACCATAGCCTGCCAGGCTCCTCTGCCCATGGAATTTTCCAGGCAAGAATATTGGAGTGGCTTGCCATTTCCTACTCCAGGGGATCTTCCTGACCAGGGATCAAAGCCACGTCTCTTGCATCGCCTGCATTGGCAAGCGGATTCTTTACCACTAACACCATCTGGAAAGCCCCAGTTTTACCATATGATCCAGCAATTCTACTTCTAGGTATATACCCCAAAGAATTGAAAGTGGGGTCTCAAAGAGATATCTATAAACCCATGTTCATAGCAGCGTATATATTCGTAATATATAAAACAAACAAACAAAAAAAAACAATCCAAATGTCCATTGACAGATGAATGGATAAGTATCAATAAAAAGCAGCATATACATACATACAGTGAAACATTATCCACTCTTAAAAAGGAAGGAAATCCTGACATACGCCACAACACAGATGAACCTTGAAGAATTCTGTTGAGTGAAATAAGCCAGATACCAAAAGACAAATATTGGGACATCCCTGGTGGTCCAGTGGCTAAGAATCTGAGTTCCCAATGCTAAGGGCCTGGGTTCAATCCCTGATCAAGGAACTAGATCCCACATGCCACAACTAAAGTTCGAATGCCACAACTAAATATCTGGCACACCCCAACAAAGACCCAGTGAAGCCAAAAAAACCCAAAAAGACAAATACTGTATGATTCCACTTACATGAGGTACTTAAAGTAGTCAAAATTGTAAAGAAGAAAGTATAATGGTGATTGCCAGGGGTTAGGGGAAGGGGAAAATGGGAGGTTATTGTTTAATGGGTTTTCATTTTACAAGATAAAAAAAAAGATCTGGAAATGATGGTGGTAATGATTACACAGTATGAATGTACAAAATACCACTGAACTGGACACTTAAAAATGGTTAAGGGAGTTCACGTGTCCGGAGGGTCCGACAGTAGGTCTCTCCTTTTGCCTGCGGCGTGAGTGCAGAGTGCGAACTGTGGCGGCCGGAGTCATGGCAGGACAGGCATTTAGAAAGTTTCTTCTCCTCTTTGACCGAGTATTAGTTGAAAGAAGTGCAGCCGAAACTGTAACCAAAGGAGGCATTATGCTTCCAGAAAAATCACAAGGAAAAGTATTGCAAGCAACGGTGGTAGCTGTTGGATCAGGCTCTAAAGGAAAGGGTGGAGAGATTCAACCAGTTAGTGTGAAAGTTGGAGATAAAGTTCTTCTCCCAGAATATGGAGGCACCAAAGTAGTTCTAGACGACAAGGATTATTTCTTATTTAGAGATGGTGACATTCTTGGGAAATATGTTGACTGAAATAAGTCACTATTGAAATGGCATCACATGAAGCTGCCCATTCCACTGAAGTTCTGAAATCTTTCATCATGTAAATAATTTCCATGTTTCTCTTTTATAATAAACTAAGGATATCCAAGCTAATGACACCCAGTGTTTAAAATTTAGTTTCACTGCACTGGTATAAACATTTCCAAATAAAAAAATATAAATTAAAAAAAAATGGTTAAGGGAATTTCCCTAGTAGTCCAATTGTTAAGAATCCACCTTCCAATGCAGGGGATTTAGGTTTAATTCTTGGTCAAGGAACTAAGATCCCACATATAGCAGGGGGACTAAGACTGTGAACCTCTACTTCTGAGCCTCTGCACACATTCTAGCATCCCTGAGCCACAACAAGGAGCATGCATGCCACAGCAAAGATTCCATGTGCCGCAACTGAGACCCTATGTTAGTCGCTCAGTTGTGTCCAACTCTTTACTACCCTCTGGACTATAGCCTGCCAGGCTCCTCTGTCCACGGGATTCTCCAGGCAAGAATACTGGAGTGGGCTGCCATTCCCTTCTTCATGTGATCTTCCCGACCCAGAAATTGAACCCAGGTCTCCTGCATTGTATGCAGGTTCTTTCCCTCTGACCCTATGCAGCCAAATAAATAATCAAACATTTTTTAAAAAGGTTAAAATAGGGGAATTCTCTGGCAGTCTAATAGGACTCAATGGTTCACTGCCAAGGGCCTAGGTTTGATCCCTAGTTGGGAAATTAAGATCCCCCCAAACCTCATGGAGCTGCCAAAATAAACAAATAAAAAAACATTATTTAATGGTTACGGTAGGAACCATTTTATGTTCTGTGTATTTTACCAGAATAACAAAGTTGGGGGAAAAAACAAAAATTCATTGTCTTTGCCTCTAAACCTGCACACCTAATATATTCCTTATCTCTGTTAATGGCTTTACATACTATCTATTGTGCGTATTCCCTCCAGCTAGAAGCCTCTTGGACCACCCTCCTGGGCACATTCTATGGGTCATGGACTCTTGAATTCAGAAAGGCACTTTGACCTACCCCCTCCTTTGCCTCTGCCTTGGTTCAGGTCCCTCTCATGTCATGTTGTTGTTCAGTCACTAAGTCATGTCCAACTCTTTGTGACCCCATAGACTGCAGCACGTCAAGCTCCCCTGTTCTTCATTATCTCCTGAAGTTTGCTCAGATTCATGTCCATTGAGTCAGTGATGCTATCTCACCATCTCATTCTCTGTCACCCCTTTCTCCTCCTGCCCTTAATCTATCCCTACATCAGGGTCTTTTCAGTAAGTTGGCTCTTCACATCAGGTGGTCAAACCATTGGAGTGTCAGCATCAGTCCTTCCAATGAATATTCAGAACTGATTTCCTTTAGGATTGACTGGTTTGATCTCCTTGCAGTCCAAGGGACTCTCAAATCCCAGAGCTTGCTCAAACTCATGTCCACCGAGTTGATGATGCCATCCAACCATCTCATCCTCTGTCATCCCCTTCTCCTCCTGTCTTCAGTCATTCCCAGCATCAGGGTCTTTTCCAATGAGTCAGTTATTCGCATCAGGTGGCCAAAGTATTGGAGCTTCAGCTTCAGCATCAGTCAGGACTGATTTCCTTTAGGATTGACTGGTTTGATCTCCTTGCAGTCCAAGGGACTCTCAAGAGTCTTCTCCAACACCACAGTTCGAAAGCATCAATTCTTTGGTGCTCAGCCTTCTTTACGGTCCAGCTCTCACATCAGTATATGACTACTGGAAAAACCATGAAGTGAAGTGAAGTAAATTGAAGTCGCTCAGTCATGTCCGACTCTTTGTGACCCCGTGGACTGTAGCCTACTAGGCTCCTCCGTCCGAGGGATTTTCGAGGCAAGAATGCTGGAGTGGGTTGCCATTTCCTTCTAGCTTTGACTATATTCTTTAGAGACCTTGGTTGGCAAAGTGATGTCTCTGCTTTTTAATACGACGTCTAGGTTTTTCACAGCTTTCCAAGGAGTAAGTGTCTTAATTTCATGACTGCAGTCACTGTTCACAGTGATTTGGGAGCCCAAGAAAATAAAATCTTTCACTGCTTCCACTTTTTCCCCTTCTATTTGCCCTGAAGTGATGGGACCAGGTGCCATATTGCAATAGCTTATGCACTATCACCAGTGCATAACCCAATCCTATCATTTTTCTGCATAAAAATATTTAATCTCATCATTGCCCGCAGAACAAGCACAGCTCTCTCAACGTATTCTCAGCATAACTTTCTACTTCTAGCTCCTATCAGTCTCCAGACTAGACTCCAGCTTCCATTTCCTAGGGTCACACATACATGCCTTACTGTCTGTTATACATAGTTTTCCCATTATCTAAAACTAACTTTCTCTCCTTCCTATAGAGAATGTGTAATCACCCTCCAAAGCTCAGAATCAACATCTCCTCGCTGATTCTCCATTCAAGACACTTGGGTGCTTCTTCCATCAGTCAGTCAATAAAAACTGAAAGCCAACTATGTGCCCTAGTACTCCTCTGTCCATGGAACTCTCCAGGCAAGAATACTAGAGTATGTAGCCTTTCCCTTCTCCAGGGGATCTTCCTGACCCAGGGATTGAACCCAGGTCTCCTGCATTGCAGGCAGATTCTTTACCCTCTGAACCATCAGGGAAGAATAACAGAATGTACTAAGGCTACAGTAAACAAGAGTCTGTCTGACCTGGATTCTAGTAGTCTGCTGCCGTGCTAAATTGCTTCAGTCATGTAAAACTCTTTGCGACCCCATTGACTGTAGCCCACCAGGCTCCTCTGCCCTCGGGATTTCCCAGACAAGAATACTGGAGTGGGTGGCCATTTCTTTCTCCAAAATAAATAAATAAACTTTTTTTTTTAAAGAAGAGCTGATTGTTGGCAGCCTAATAATTGTATATTTTTTTGAAACATATAGGACTTCCCTGGTCATCCAGTGGTTAAGACTCCACACTTTCCATGCAGGGGCACAGATTGGATCCCTGGTCAGGGAAGTTCCCCATGATGTGGGGTATAACCAAAAATTAATTAATTGATTAATTAGTTATAAAACAATAGCATAAAAAGCAAAAGTTGTTAGAATTAAGCTATTTTAATTCTCTAGCATTATTCAAGAAGTGTGAAAAATGCTAATTTAGGGTAAATTATGGTGAGTTAAGAATGTTTATTATAATCCCTAGATGTTGTTGTTCAGCACTAAGTCATGTCCGACTCTTTGCTACCCCATGGACTGCAGTATGCCAGGCTTCTCTATCCTTCACTATCTCTCAGAGTTTGCCCAAACTCATGTCCATTGAGTCAGCAATGTCATCCAACCTCTGCTGTCTCCTCCTTCTTTTGCCTTCAATCTTTCCCAGCATTAGGGTCTTTTCTAATGAGTCAGCTCTTCACATCAGGCGGCCCAGGTATTGGAGCTTCAGCTTCAGCATCAGTCCTCCCAATGAATAGTCAGGGTTGATTTCTTTTAGAATTGACTGATTTTATCTCCTTGCTGTCCCAGGGAGTCTCAAGAGTCTTCTCCAGCACCACAGTTCACACCACTAAAAGAGTAATCAAATAATAATCAAATATCTAAATAGTCAAATGCTAACGAAAATAAAGACTAAAAAGTGGAATGATAAAAATCATTGTTCAGGGCTTCCCTGATGGCTCAACAGTAAAGAATCTGTCTGCCAATGCAGGAGACACAGATTCGATCCCTGGCCCAGGAAGATCCTACGTGCCTGGGGCAACTGGGCCAGTGTACACAACTGCTGAGCCCATGTGCCCTGAAGCTTGTGCTCTTCAACAAAAGAACCCACCGCAGTGAGAAGCCCGTGCACTGCAACTAGAGTAGCTCCTGCTCATCGCAACTAGAGAAAAGCCCACGCAACAGCGAAGACCCAGCGCAGCCAAAAATAAATATATAACTTTCTTTAAAGTCATTGTTCAATACAAAAGAAGGACAAAAAAGAGAAAGAATGAAGGAACAAAGAACAGACAGAACAAATAAAATAAATAGCAAAATAGTAGAAATACACACACTATATCATAATAAAATTAAATGGAAATGAAGTAAAATACTCTAAATAAAAAATAAAGATTATCAGACTGGATTTTAAAAATACAACTATATGCTATTTACAAGTGACACACTTTAAATATAAGGTCATCAAGGTTAAAAGAACACAAAAAAACAGGATCAAAAAAGATGTGCCATACGAATACAAACAGAAGAAATTAGCTAAATTATTATTGGGCAAAATAAGCTTTCAGATAAGTTCACACTGATAAAAGTGTTTGTATAGCTGAAAATACAAGTTTCTAATTGTATCTTTAGAAATAAAATATATGAAACAAAAAAATAACAGAACCAAAGAGTAGACAAACCCACAATCATTATTGGAGACTCGAACACACACGTCTCAGTAACTGACAGAACTAGTAAAGTATCAGTAGGGATACAGAAGATCTGAACCTACTATCAACTACATTGGCATAACTGAATATTTATATAATACTATACGCATCAACTGCAAAATACATTCTTTTTAAATACAAATGAAATGTTCACCAAATAGACCAATATGCTGGCACATAAAACAAATCTCAAGAGACTTCAAAAGACTGAAGTTTTACATAGTATGTTCTCTGATCACAATGAATTAAATAATAAATTAACAAGAAATCAAAAGGAGCCCCAAATATATGGAAATTAAGCAACTCATTTATATACAGCTCACGATCAGGCAAAACTAATCTACAGAAATAGAATTGAAGATAATTTCTGTTGGATAAGAACAGACAGTGAGCATTCTGAGACTCTGAATGTTCTATATCTTAATATAGGCAGTGGTTATACAGGTGTATTTATATATAAAATTCATTCAAGATTTAGATTTATACACTTTAAGTAAGTTGTATATAAAAGTGTAAATTAGAGGGACTTCCCTGCTAGTTCAGTGGTTAGGAATCCATGTGCCAATGCAGTAGACACAGCTTGGATCCCTGATCTGAGAAAATTCCACATGCTGCAGGGCAACTAAGCACGTGAGCCACAACTACTGAGCCTCTGTGACACAGCTACTAAAGCTTGCATGCCCTAGAGCCTGTGCTCCTCAGCAAAAAAAGCCTCCAGCATGAGAAGTTCATGCACCTCAACTAGATGGTAGCCTCCACTTAAGGCAATTAGAGAAAGCCCGTGCACAGCA